TAGACTTCAACATTATTCTTTGAATCCCTTTTAGTTTTAAATGTTTATTTACAACTGGTGGATTTCTTGTCTTCCGATAATTTAAAGACATCTTAAACGTAATTGTTAAATATTGATTTCATCTTATTTTTCAACATTAATTCACATGACAGAGTTGGAACTTTGCATAGCTTAACAAAAATTGATAACATATTCCTCGGTAAATTAATGTCATCCTCGTATTTCCGAAGAAATGTAACATAATTATTTAGAATTGTAATTCTCTTCTCTCTAATGAATTTTTTTAATAATAGCTTCTCTTGAGGTTATTGTTTGACTTATAAGTGGTGTTTTAGGAAGAAATTCAATATTGTCTTGTTCTTGAGGAATGTTAGAAATAAAATCTTGAGAGAATATTTCGAGGGATGTTAAAAAGAACATCTTGATTTGTTTATGAATTCTATAATTTTGTTTTCTGGATAACAATCACTACGCCAAAAATAATTTTTTGTATCACCTAATTTAATAGCACTTTTAAAAAAAAATGCTATTAAAATGGAAAAAACACATTTATAATAGCACTTTTTAATTGGGCGCTATTATATAATACAGACTATGTAATTTTGATAGCACTTTGTACCAGAACGCTATTATTAAACTTCTTTAAGATAGCATTTTGTATAAAACGCTATTATTTGACTACCTATATAATAGCATTTATTAAAAAGCGCTATCTTATATATAATAATGAATTAATTAATTGATTAAAAAAAAAAACACATTTTCAGAAACCTTTCTCTCCTTCCATATCTGATCCACTTTTCTCAAACTCCCGTCAAAACCTCTACATCATGAACCCTAGAAAGCTAAAGTATGGAATTAACCGGTAACGAAGCTTGCAATCACGCTATTGGAAGAGGAGAAATGTTTAGAGGATCCTAAACTACTCCGTGGTATAAAGAAAGCTAAGAGAATTTGAGGAAAGGACTAACTTGTTGGCGGCGGTTATCGTGTTGGAGAGGAAGACGAAAGAATCGAAAGAAATTAGATCTCTCAGGTACGATTCAACACTTCCGGCTTTACGTTTTCACCTCTACCTTCTTCTCCTTTTTGCTACTCGTTCTCTACTTCTTTTTCTTGCGTTCTTCATGCACTAATTCTGCGTTGTTGCTGCGTTCTATTGTAGATTCGTGATGTTGTTTCTGAAGTAATGAACAAAGATGTTGCGATGATGATGACACTTGCAGATTCCGAAAGCGGAGATGAAAATTGAAGGTTCTGCCCCCATGCTACAGAGATGAAGATTGCAAGAGGAAGTAGAGAGAATTGAGAGAGATTTCTTAGATAGGGTTCCGAGAAGAATGGTGAGTGTTTTTCTCTAATTTTTCTATGACTTTTTCTGGTGTGTCTGAATTGTGAACTCCCTCCTCACTTTTCTGTTATCTGTTAGGAAGTTGGTTAGAAACAGTTAAGGGTTATGGAATCTGTTAGAAGTTAGCTTTGACATCAATTTTCCCCTTTTGATTTTCCCGGCCACACCACCGCCGTCATCGCCGCTTCATCCACCGACGACAGCGGCATCCCGTCTCAAGATCTCGCAGTTCTCCTCGAAGTCGACGGGTGAATTTTCGCTTTTCTTCGTTATTAACAATCTCGTTTCAGTTTCACTCTGCTCAACTTGTTTGAACTGTTGTGGTTGTTAATTGTTTTATTTATTTATTTATTTGTTTTTTAGGGTTCTTGTGGATGCATACCGTGGGAATCGCATAGCCTTCAATAAAGGTATCAACAGTTCGACTGTGCTCACTGTCACTGCTCATCTATAATTCCATATTCTCCTTGTGTTATTCTGTTTTCATGGAGTGTAACGAACTGTTGTTTTTCGATTTTGATTTCGATGTTGTGCTTGCAGCATTTAAGAAACTTGGACTTGATTGTGCGAGCTGGAGCGAACCTGTCTATTCAGATCTTTTAAGGTGTTTTTTTGGTTATTTGTTGTTATATTATTTTCTTGCCTGTGCATATGTTCTAATGGAAAAGGTGATGATGATACACTTAGATTTCATGAGTTCTTGTAATCAATGCATTGAATTTCAATGAAGTCTCAGTTTGGTAGGGACTGTAGTTGATAATACTGCGAATTTGAATTATAAGACTTCACTGCTACATTCCCTGCTACATCATTCAAGAATGGCATGTAAGTATTATCTACTTAATTTTTGTTTCATTACATTCCCTGCTACATCATTCAATTTGTTGGTTGGATTATCATGAAAATTTAGTGACGTGAAATCTCATGCATACAATAGATTTTGAAAAGACCAAATGGTATTCTCTTTAGCATGTACATCATTGATGAAAAGAAAATGAAGAAAGCAATTGAGTTGAAGCATTATGTACTCAAAACGAATAAAATATAGCTTATTTATCCGCCCAATCAAGCTAGAGGGAACAAACTGACCTAGTTTGCTTTTGCTAAATCATCAAAACTACCATGTTTGACTTGTATTACACACATTCTAACAGTTTATAGCTTTGGTTTATGTTTTCATAATTAAGTGTGGTCCAGTAAACCATCAGATTATACTTAATAATGCTCATGAATCATGGTTTTTGGTATGAAATCAGCTGTCGGTGAGCTGTTAGCTGAGTATAGCTTGAAAATTGACAAGCCAAGATTATTCAAGCTGTGTAGAAAATTGGTTTTTTGTTTTGTTTTGTTTTAAACTAGTTCTTTTTTGGCATTCTTTTGTCAAATTCATCTTTCATTATGTACTGTTCTTGTCCTACATTATTCAATAGCTAACATGATTTGGTAAATTTTTTATAGAGGAATTGAAAAAAATGCCGGCTCCTGAGGTAGCTGTGAATTATTATATGGGAGATGACTTGTATCTATTTGGTAAGCTCTTCATTATTTTGACCTAAATTTGTTTACTTGAGGCAAAAAACCCGACATTTCACACTTTCAATATCATTTTTTTCAGATGAATTTCAAACTTCCAGAGTTCCAAATACTAGAAGGCCTAAGATAGGTATAACATATGAAATTGCTCCATTGATATGACTTTTTTTAAAGCAGTAAAATTTCTCACATTGGTTATTTCTATTTCCCCTCTAGAGAATCTGTACGACGTATTTTTAAATATCCGAGATGATGAAGCTGAACATTGCAAGACAATGAGGGCTTGTCAAACTGATGGGAACCTCAGGTCGCCTCATTCATATGCAGAGGACGATGATGAATCAGTCTGTACTCTTGAAGCAGGCTGTGAAGGAATTGTTGACTAATATTCACATTGGTGACAAATATATTAATATCAATTGTTGTTCATTTCTAGGTATTTGTATGACAAGTTTATTAGTCCAAATGGATTAATAAATAAGTTCTCTTTCATATCTCCACATGTATCACGGGAGGATAATCTAGGAAATGGTATAGCAAAAATACTTTTGAAAGATGAGGAGTTCAAGGATAAGATGATATATATGCAATGAGTAGTTCAAGGATAAGATGAGGAGTTCATTGGTAATTTAAAATGTTATTTGGTATTTGATGGATCATAATATATATGCAATGAGTAACTTAAAGCGTTATTTGTGTTGAATTGAATATAGTTATTTTATATTTACACCAAAAAAAAATGATTGTGTAAGAAAAAATATTGTACTGTACTTATTAAAAATATTGTACCAAATATGTACCATTTATTAGCACTTTATTTGAAAGCGCTATCAAATATATGTTATATATTAGCGCTTTTTGTTTAGAGTGCTATAAAAAAACAAACAAAAAACATGCAAAATACTGACTTTGATAGCATTTTAATTAAAACGCTATTATAAATTGGTACTTTAATAGCGCTTTTAAAGTGCTATTAAATAAGAAATATTTACAATAGTGGCGCGGTTAATAGCACTTTTAAGCGCTATCAAAAACAAAAAAAAGCGCTATTAAATAGCTTATTTGGCGTAGTGAATATGTCAGACACAATGTTGTAAGAATGTGTGTGGCAAGTATAATATGTAACCAGCAAAATAAATGCATAATATAAAATGACACAATAATTGGTAAATTAGTTTGATACAAAGCCACATGCGTTTGGAGGACGTTAACCCAATAAAAGATAATTCACTCTTAATAGTGGTTTGTACAAATCCTTAAAACGCGAGGATTACTCAATTTATCTTGTCGCAAAGCAACCCAGAAAGAGACATATTGCCTCACAAAATGAATGACATTATGCTTAACATGTTGTTTTCTTATTGAAGTGTATTCATCACTTAGAGACATGATGTGTAACACACGAGGCCAGCGAGGACAGGGATTGGTCGTCGGTGTACGAAGCATGCACTACGCCAAATAAGCTATTTAATAGCGCTTTTTTTGTTTTTGATAGCGCTTAAAAGTGCTATTAACCGCGCCACTATTGTAAATATTTCTTATTTAATAGCACTTTAAAAGCGTTATTAAAGTACCAATTTATAATAGCGTTTTAATTAAAGTGCTATCAAAGTCAGTATTTTGCATGTTTTTTGTTTGTTTTTTTATAGCACTCTAAACAAAAAGCACTAATATATAACATATGTTTGATAGCACTTTCAAATAAAGTGCTAATAAATGGTACATATTTGGTACAATATTTTTAATAAGTACAGTACAATATTTTTTCTTATACAATCATTTTTTTTGGTGTAAATATAAAATAACTATATTCAATTCAACACAAATAACGCTTTAAGTTACTCATTGCATATATATTATGATCCATCAAATACCAAATAACATTTTAAATTACCAAATCCTATTGTTTCCAAATATCATAACATATAGAATATTAAGAGGGCGTTTGCATAGCCAAATTTGTAGATGCCCATCTATGAGTACTTCAATCCAAATCCAAAAATATACAATCAAATTCTCTAAACAAAACACCAAAAAAATAAGAAAGGATAACAAAACAATCCCATGTAGTAACCACCTTCATGATCCAAAAGCGTTGAACTCATAGATACAATCACTAATTAGGCAAAATAATTGCTTCTTGTTTTCCTGTATCATAGAAGGAATATTGATTATGTATTGTACAATAAAAACTAATTCAACATATAAAGAATAATCAAACATTTAATATGGGTCTAACAAGAAGCGCATAAAATAAGGAATGATTATTATAAACTAATAACAATAAATCGATATAACTAATGCAATAATTGAACTAATTAAGTCTAACAAGAACATGACTTGTAAATATATAGACCACAATTTCCATTATTAGATGCATATAAACACTAAACAGAATATAATTCAAATTCTCAAAATATACATAAACACTTAATTGTGTGTAACTTTCTTTTCATGATCCAGAACTAGATATCAAACACCTTACAATTGTTACTACGAATATCTAAAAATTTCAAGTAGAAACGAAAAACTATAAATCAATCATACAATAAGATGTAAGTCATTTTTCCGTATTTTCCTATTTCAAAATTTAAATTCGAGACCAAGAAAGAACACTCAGTACCTCTGTGCCATATCTTCTAAACCAATAAAATACTAAAATCATTTATACGACAACTCTAAATCCAACTCAAAAATTAAAATTAAACATCTAAGTCAAAACATTTGAACTCTAAATCCATGAGTAATATTTGTCTTGTTTATCAAGTATCAAGTCAAGGAAAAACTCACCGAAAACATCATCCACCACATAAGTAGCCCAATCCTCCTTAACCTCAGTTAACTTATCATGAGAGTAGGTACGACATTTGTGGTCAAAAAAGTACTTCAAATATGAAAACATCAACAATTAATCGTGTTAGAATTAAATTATATTAATTTAATTTACAAAAGAATAATAATAATAATTAAAATCACGTACATTTGTGGGGATCATAAATTCATTTTCCATGATGACCTCTTTCATAAATCGCATTACAAAGTATCCACAATCAACGCCATTAATTTGACGAGGACACTACAAAAAAAAAATTTATATCGATTAATTTTACTCCACATAATTGTTTTAAAATAACATTAATTTAGACACATACCTTTATTTTTTGCCATGAGATTTTCTTTGACTTTGACACTTTAGGCACTTTAGAACTACTATTAGCACGATAAATTTGCAAAGCGCTAACAAAATGAAATTAACTTCAAATGAGTAATTATATAAATAATAATACGTACATAAATTTTAAATTAAAAGAGTCTATACTCACTTCTCAAACTTTGTTTTAAAATTTTGATGTTTTGTTGGCTCACCATTCAACGGATCCATGTAATATATCACCTCAGCATTGAGATTGATGACAAGCAACACCCAATGTTTCCTGCACCCAACATTTAAATATTGCATTAAAGATTCACATTCATTAGAGTTTTTTCTCGTTAATTTAATAACTTTTTGAATATAAATCTCACCCTAGATTACAAGGTGCAAGAATCATCTTATCCTTGAACTCCTCATCTTTCAAAAGTATTTTTGCTATACCATTTCCTAGATTATCCTCCCGTGATACATGTGGAGATATGAAAGAGAACTTATTTATTAATCCATTTGGACTAATAAACTTGTCATACAAATACCTAGAAATGAACAACAATTGATATTAATATATTTGTCACCAATGTGAATATTAGTCAATAATACAAATAACATTAATATTAATAATATATTTGTCAAATAAGAGAATATTTGTAATAATAGAGGTACCTGGAAAATACAGTGATAATAGATGCACTTAACCAATTGTGATCAAGAATCTCCTTTATACTCTCTACACGTAGTTGCTCTAAAAACTCCTCACCAAATATACTTTCCTCCATTTTTATTTGAATTAATGATCCAACCCTCATCATCTTTTTCACATACATATCAAGGAAAGGTAAATTTGCAATACCAGCTGAACCGCCAACTCTAGGAGACTCTTCAATTTTGAATTTTTTGTTACTTTTGTTGGGTGATGAAACTGAATATTCAACACTGTGTTGAATATTGTTACCTTTGTTTTGGGATTGACCAGGAATCTAAAAAGTTGTATTAATTAATATTAGTGATCAAATAATAAAACAAGTAGCGATCAAGCAACTTGATTATAAGTAATTTACCTTTTCACATTCAGCAACAAATTCAAGAAGTTTCGTTGGCCATGGCACAATTGTTCCTATTGCTTGACCAACCATGGATACATCTCCATCTTCAACAGATATAGGCAATGGGGCATTTGGCACAATAGCAACTTCGATATTAACCTTGACATATCCAGGTGGTAACGTCATGCCATGTACCGTGTTACCTTTGGTGTTATATAGTTTTCCACGAGCAACCAAACAACGACTCGGGGAGGATAAATATATATTAACAGGAAAGAGACCCTAAACCAATAAGATATGAATAAAAAGATTAACATCATTATTGAAAGAACAAACATATCGAATTTGAGAGATAATAAAGAAACCAATTACCTCGGGAATGTTGCCAAATGATCCAGGGTTGCAAGAACCTTTATCACTAGGTAGTCGACTCTCAGCTACTTTTTCTGGTTGTTTCCTTTCTACCACTTGTTCAAGGTGTTGCCTCTGTGCCACTTTTTCAGGTTGTTGCAACCTCTCTGACACTTGTTTAGGTTGTTGCCTTTCTTCCACTTCTTCAGTTTGTTGCCTCTCTAGCTTCTCTCTATCCAACTTATCTCTCTCAATCTTTTCTCTCTCTAGCACCTCCAATCTACTTTTGAGTGAATTACAAAAGCCATACAATTTTTCAAAATCCATTTGTGTGGGGCGATTTTGGCGTGGTAATATGTCCCTAGAACATACCCCAAAACCATAAGTCCTAACACGTCCAGAGTAGTTTGGGAGATTAAGAGCCTCAAATAATATGTTTGTGGGACCAAGGTCTTGTCTCTCTTCTTCAGATAGAGCTTCTGTTAACTTCTCCTGACATTGATAAGTATAAAAGAAATAACCAATAGTTAGATACAAGTTGCAATTAATGGCTATTCTATCAAAATAAGACACAAAGACTCAATTAATTAAGGAAAATTGAGTTTAATGACTTCAAACTAACTAACAAAATACAAATTCGGTAACAATGATGAGTATAGAAAAAGTGTCACATCTATAATGTGAGCATTTTGGAAATAACATCTATAGTGTCACATCTAAAATTCGACTTACACATTGATCCACAACTCTTTGAACATTCTCATTATCAATCACCCCGCTCTTATTGACGCGGGCAGCCTTCCACACTTGACTACGGTTTATCTCACCAACTTCTGACTCTTCTACCTGTATATACATTTTTACAAATTAACATAGCAATTAAATTTTTTTATACACATACTTACCATATCAGCTTCAAGACGAGCACACCCTAAACGTGACTTTCTATAGGGATGTTGAGGATTTAACGCTCTTTCTCGATTCTCATCACTAACTTTCTGCATTTATTATAAAAAATGCATCCCACAACACTATCACTAATACTATAATCATGCAAAACTTTAAGGATCCATATCCAAGTGATAAAAGTATTACCTGAAACTTTGCAGTCATATGTTGGGCTACAAATTTATCCCAATCATCTTGTTTTATACAAAAAGAATATTTGGCCGGACGATGTTTAACAAAACCACCCTTACTATCTTTTAGATATGACCTCGCCATTTTTGTTCTGAATGCCCTGTGCAACTTTCCAGCTTCTCTATATACAAAGGCACGATGTTCCTCGCCAATTATAAAAGCTTTCTGCAAATAATTCAGTTTATTAAAACATAGTTCAGTTTATTTAAACATCCCAATCGATAGATTAACGAAATTAAAATTTTACAACTAGCTTAAGTTAGTGTGTTACTTCAATTTCTTCCCAAATGTTTTGTTTATAAACCCCCACAGCCTCTTTATTTTTTTTCGCGCTCCAATTGTCCAAGCTTATTGGAACTAACCGACGAACTGTGACACCAATGAAACTAGCAAAAGTCTTGCTATTATGCTTGATTGGTTGACCTCTGGAATTCCATTGAACCTATAACAAAATTAAAGTGCAAATAAAGAATCAACAGTCTCACTAATAGTGTTTAACATTCAAATAGTTTCAAACAACTTACTCATAAAAGATAATCATGTATGTAACCATCACTCATACATAGTTCAGTAAAAGGAAAATTGCCAAGAGAGTAAACAGTATCATAAAACTCTAGCTATTTTACCTCAATTCTCTTTCCATTGCTTTTGGCTTTGTGAATTTTTTGCAATCGGGTCACACCACGTTTACCAACTGTTTTCTTACTAGACGAACCACTTTCATCATCAATAGAAGCCATATTTCACCTATAAAAATTTAAAAAGTTATATACCATACAAGAATAACATTAAGAAGCAATAACAATAAAAAAATGAAAAACAAATAAATAAACCATACAAGATTAAGTCGGCCTTTTCCTCTTCCTTGTAGTTGGATTCCTACTTTTCTGTTTTCTAGTTACATAAAATGATGGATTGATCCAAATCCCATCACTGTGATTGTTTCTCATATAAAGAATATCATCTATAATTGATTCAGACTCAAGGGATTGTGAAGTATTAAAGAAAGGGCCAGTATGCTTCACTGGTTGGCACTCAAAGGCTTGCATTTGAATAAATTTATTATGAAGGTCTTGTTAGTAATTACTGTTATACCAAATAGCAATACATGAGACATGGAGCTGGAAGATTTTCTGGCTTGGAGAATGCAGAAGGGGATACTGGTTTTGTTTAGAAGATATCACACAACAAAGAGAAACAACCAAAAAGAAAGAAAAGAAAAGGAAATGTAATTAATGTTTTATGGCAATTTTGGTGTACAAGACCTCATCTTATGTTGATAAAATGGTATTACAATTTGGAATAGGAAGATTTTATAATTTCATTATAACCTTGGTGTTGGTGTCCAAAAATGTACAAGAGAAGTGTTATAGAATGTAGGGTAATGAAATGCCTTTGCACTAGTTGCATTGTTACAAGTGGAGGATTGAGTTTGGTACATTGGCTAGTTTCCTACTTTCTAAAATCTAGACCTGATTGTTATCCGGCTCAGGTGGACTTAGAAGACTAAATTTTACGCTTGAAAAATAATCAACCAAGTGGACTTATATTCTACTATCTCAGGATAAAAACACAGTATGTCATATATAAAATATAAATATTAATTATAGTCTTAAAGAAATATGAAATCATTAGAATATAATATTATATGATTACTTAATTATTTGTAGAAATCATAACCAACCATTATTAAGAAAACTATCCATCTTTTAAGGGCACAGACTAATTAATTATTTGTAGAAATACTTTTTTACTTAATGTTTTCTAATTATAATATTCTTAACCTGTACTCTTAGAATAGCAAAACCTTTTAAGAAAATTGAAGTAAATTTTATGGCTGCCAAAGAAAATAGGTACATTTTGCAACTTGGAAACAGTAAAGAAGATATTGAGTATTCTGTCACCATGAATAAGAAGTCATGTCTCTAGGTATACATATTCCTATCTTAGTATAATACAACTCATTATTGTCTTATGTTTTTTTAATCTTCTTGTATTTAGTTTTGCAATGAAACCTCAACTCTTATGATGTAGAAGAAATGAAGATGACAGCATTTAATTCAGCAAGACACTCAGTTGGTAGACCAAGGAAAGAATTCATAATGAAATCATCAATAGGTTCAACTGTTGCCACACCAACAAGTCTGCACTTTCTCAGCATCGTGGTATCAAAGAAGTCACTGAATGGATGTCAAGTGTAGGTTCTATCATCACTTGTTTATCTATAAGCACTTCTTATGAAAATAAAATGCCAATAAAAAGAACCGTCTTTGAGGGTGTATAAGTCGGGCTATTGCGCATAACCCAAAAGCCCAAAATAGTTTGTTTATTAATAAATTAAGAGTGGAAGAGACACAACCCAATCTGCAAGGAAATGACAGCAACATACAAATTTTTTTATCTGAATCATGGGCGAATATGGCTGCTTAGGAGGTGAGTTTGGAAACAGATGGCTTCAAACTTGTTAGTTCAAAAAGGAATTCGAAAAAATCCAAGAAGAAGAAATTAACTAGGGATAAACCTAGTACATCTAATCCTTTCTCATGAAGTGCATATTCTGGAATATTAGAGGAATTGCAAATGCCTCTTCCAGACTTGCTCTCAAAAGATTAATTTCTGTTAACAATCTAGACTTGGTTTTGGTAGCAGAACCTTGGATGGACTTTTCTAAATTCCTTCAAACTTGGCTTAAGAAGCTCAACCTTAAGCTATTTGCCATGAATTACACGCATCATCTTTTGCCTAACTTATGGTGCTTTTGTAAGTCTAATATCACCCCTACTGTTTTGTTAAGAGTGGCCAAGTAAGCACCCCTGGGCCGTAAGCATTCTGAGAAAAGGCTGGATAGAGCTGTCTGTAATTTCCATTGGATCGATACTTGCTCCTCAACATCCTGCCATACTCTTGTCAAAAACAAGTCTGATCACTATCCCCTGCTTCTAAACTTCGAGTATAATGATCCTAAAGTCACATCTAATTTTAAATTCATGAATATGTGGACCCTTCACAAAGATTGCTTGAATCTCGTTTCTCAAACTTGGCATTCCAAAGTGTATGGCTGTCCCGTGTATGTTTTAGACAAAAATCTGAGGATTCTTAAAGCTAACCTAAAAGAGTGGAACAAAAACAGTTTTGGTAATGTGCAGGAAAAAGTTAAACTGGTGCAAAATGGCGACAGGAAATTTGGTTGTGATGAGAAAACTATCAAAGCGGTTTGTGTACAAAATGTAGGTTGTATTTCTATAGGAAATCTTTTACTCTTTGTTGTAGTCCTACTCTTATCTACGTATGCTTGAAATTGACTTTTTTGTATAAAGTCGCCCTGTTTTGACTTGTGCAGTCAGTACAAAGGGATCAGCTAGGAGGCAGTGATATATATGAAACAGTTCGTTCTGAAGTTAGGCGGGCTATTTCTGAGATTCAGATTGACCTCGAAAGTGTAAGTTTCATGAGACTATAACTTTCTCCTTGCCAGCTTGAAGTTAACTGCCTATTGATATAACTAACTGTGATTCATCCTATGCTATTCTCTAACTTGCTTCTTGTTTCGGGAATTTTAGGCTATTCAAGTGAGTAACGCTACAGCCGTTACTGTCACCGATATGGCTGATATTCATCCTGACTTGCTAAGCCCTGGTACAATAGAATTAGCATTGGAGACTAGAAGAGAGTATACCAAAAAGCTTGAAGAGGTAGTATTCCCATTTATACTTGAAGATGAAGTATGGTTAACGTCTCGTTCTTTTATATTGAGCAGAACTTGTCATATTTACAGGCCAAAGAGCGAGCTAGACGTCTTAGAGCAGATCTGGCAGTTGAAGAACATCGAGTGAGAGAACTGGATAGAATCTTGAGAGAAGTTCTTCCATATCCCAAGACTCCTAATATACCAAAGTCTCGTCCATCAAGAAAAGTAGGTTCCTTTCACATTATATTTACTCCACATGTTACATTAGATGTTTCTATCCCATTATTGATGAATCCAAAACACGGTTACAGTCTAGCATTGAAAGAAAAAGGATGTCGAAACGTCTTGCAGAAGATGCCAAGGCTTATTTTGACGAGTGTGTATCACTATCAACATTCGATAGTTCGGACTTTTCATCTCAAGAGGATCCTCCGCTCAGTATGGTTGGTCCACCTACTCCATCTCGTTTAACCGAGGCAAGTTCAAATACTCCGCTTTCAAATTTCGTCAGTAATTTACTTTCTACTTAACAAGTGCATCTTTTTATTCTTTTCTTGCATAATCTATATGTTTTACATTTTTGCAGCAATCCGGCACTCGAGAACAATCACACCATATCCATTATGACACAATGCAGCCACCAGCCAGCATTGATTCCGAGGAAGCTATCCATGAACAAGTCAGCTCAACTGCTGATAGCAAAGAAACTGACTCTAAACACTGCTTCTCCTTTGCACAGAAACCATCTGAAGGCACTACAGCTCAACAAGATATCCAACAATACATAAAAAAGTTTGAAAAAAGTGTTTCAAAGTTGCCAAGTATGAGATCAAGTTATGGTGACATGTGTGACTATAGTTTCCAATCATCAGCTGAGAGCTTGTTGATTGACAGGGTGATGCTAAGAAGTAGAATTGAATCTGGTAGGTTTTTACTCTGTGGTGGTGGTAACTTTTGGTCACCTTGATGCTTTGGTAGGTTTTTACTCTGTGGTGGTGGTAAGGTTTGGTCACCTACTTAACAAATTATAATGCACACATCTTGAGATTTGTTGTGATTGGTGGTGGTGGTGGTAAGGTTTTTACTCTGTGGTGGTGGTAAGGTTTCTATCTCTCATCCATTTCAACCCCAAAACAAAATCAATCTTTCTCTTAAAATAAGAACAACAACAAAATAGAAATCCAAGATTCAAATCAAGCATTTAAGTTCTCCAACAACAATCACAACAAATCGAGAAAATAGAGGAAAAAAATTGCTTACCTGCAAGCAAAACCGAGAGTGGCTGGAGATGGAGGTCGGAGTCGAACGCCCAGTGGTGGCTGCCGGTGAGCTACAGGGGGCCGGAGTGCGTCGATATTGTGCTGTTGCAGAAGCAGTTGAGTTGTCGTCGCGGTCGCCGGCGTGTCGTCGGAGGCCAGTCAAGTAATGGATTTGGAATCTCCTTCCTGTGTTTTTTTATTTTGTTTCGGTTTGTAATGGAAATAACTTTTTTTTTATCAATTAATTAATTAATTCATTATTATATATAAGATAGCGCTTTTTAATAAATGCTATTATATAGGTAGTCAAATAATAGCGTTTTATACAAAGTGCTATCTTAAAGAAGTTTAATAATAGCGTTCTGGTACAAAGTGCTATCATAATTACATAGTCTGTATTATATAATAGCGCCCGATTAAAAAGTGCTATTATAAATGTGTTTTTTCCATTTTAATAGCATTTCTTTTAAAAGTGCTATTAAATTAGGTGATACAAAAAATCATTTTTGGCGTAGTGATGACAATCAGACACTCTCGAGGCCGGCAAAGGCAATGAGTGGTCGTCGAATTTACATCATAATGAGATGGATCCTAAGGTTGTACATGTATGGGACTGTATGGTTGAAGGAAGGGTTATAAGGATTGATTGGTACTACATATTACCAACAAGATGCGTATTATTTTCGGTAGCCTAACAAATAAGAACTACACAATTAAAATGGATTAACTTGGAGTAGTATTTGGGATGGATAACCTTCTGGAATGTTTCCCAGAAAGCATGTGAGTGAGGATAAATCATGTTGTAAAGGCATGTGTTGGTTTGTGGAGTCACTCAGTAATCCTGGAAGCAGTCTAGGGCATTATAGGATATCTCACCTATTTTTATGATATCTTCTAGAATTGAAGGGTAAGGCATTAATGTTTGCATGACTAACAGAAGTAGAGAGAGACTGAAATAATGGATAAGGTCAAAAGTGTCATTATCTTGTTCCTCAGGGATAAAGTTCTAAGGGAACTCTCCAGGGACAAGAATGTGAATTCGATGTAGGAAATGCTTGAACCATTATATACGACTAAGTCTTTGACTCACATGTTATTTCTTAAACAACAACTCTACTTACTCCAAATGATAGAGAATAATTTCATAGTGGAACTGTTGACATGATTTCACAATATTATTGATAATATTAAGAATATTGATGTGAAGATTGAAGATGAGGACTATAATATACTCTTGTTGAGCATATTACCCAAGTCATTTGTGCACTTTAAGGATTTTTTTTATGATAAGTAAGGTTATATTACTTTAGATAAAGTTCAGATGACTGTGAGATCCAAAGAATTTTCAAATGTGAATGATTTAAAGATTGGCTATAGTGGTGAAGGATTCGATTTCTCAATAGAAGGAAGTAAGCGTAGAGAGATGTCCAAATTAAATAGTTTTGGCAAGTTAAAGATAAAATGGTTCACTTATCATAAAATTGATCATTTGATGAGGGATTATCTTGAAATAAGGGCAATGATGATTATGTCCAGATTTATGTTGCCTTTGATGAGTATGGTTATAAGAGTGTTGGTTCACTATGTTAATACTAGATAGAAACCTAAGAGTGGGTGAATTAGGTTTTGCCATATTTTTGTGAGATTAAGTGCTAACTTCTGAAAACTTGTTTTACCTGAAATGTGTTTAAGAATATATAATGGATTCAGAAACAACAAATAATAAAGTGTTGGAAAATAAAGTGCAGAGCGTAAAAGTTAAGGGAATATAGAATGACACATATATTTATCCTGGTTCCCCTTGTCAACTTAAGGTTACACTCAGACCCTTTATCTCCTTAGAGAATTTTCCTCTATGTATCAAGAGCTTCAATTACAAGCATCATATCAAAACTCCTCTCAAACTAATCATTAATACTTGCACAAGAAAGCACACTACTTCCTTGTTTTCATAACAAACACCAAACACTACGGTGGAATTTGAATCAACCCGACTCAGAAATTTTTCTACAATCACTAAACATCATGATGATCTTCACCAAACACTAGGGTGAAATAAGTAACAATAAATTTTGTTGAGAAATGCATAACTTATGTAGGTTGTAGAATAATTATATCAAAACTAGGATTATTGATTCTTATCAATATCACCTTGTAATACAGTGAGAGAACTGACTTGGGATGTTTTGCGTTTGATCGCAATGTTGCAGTTAGCAAGAGCCGACACCGACTTTTCTTTTATCCAAAAGGAAAGGTTGAAAAGAACAGGAAAGACCTTTGAAATTATTTCTTGAGTTCGAGGGGGGGGGGTAGATTATGAAAAGGGAAGGTGTTAGAACCCTTTTCATCCATAGTTATCTATGGGCTCTTAGTTTCTTGCTAGATCACTTGCTTTGTTTGAAAATGTGATTTGTGGTGGTTTTTGAAAGTATTTTTAAAAGGCGCCTTCGTTTAGGCAAACTTTGTAATAGTTCCCATTCGTAAGAACGTATACAAAGTGTTGGACTTTTGAAAATATTTTAAGTTTTGAAAGTTTGTTTTGAAAGTGTTTGGTGTTTGTTTTGAAAATAAGCAAGGATGCTTGTTTTGAAAGTGAGCAAGCAACTAGGAACAATATACCTACTCAAAAGTCTTTGTTCATTTCTTCCTTTGATACTGCCATCTTACCTTTGATTTGGTAAGAATCCTTATCTTTGGATGTAAATGGACGGGCGTGGGTCATCGTATAGTCATGATAGCAATGTTATGAGATATCTTAGTATTTTTATTTGAGGGACTAAGACCATTTGAAAGGAAGCATTTGTAGCGTCATCGAGGGACTATGATCTAGTATTTTTTGACTTGTTTTTGCTAAGATATCCCACATGATAACATGACCATTTTGTAAGGCAACAAAGTGGAGTTAACCATAGGGGTGCAAGTGTGCAAGTGTGTTTGATTTACATGTATTGTTTATCTTGAATTAGGGTTTATTAATTGTTGATTTTAGTCTTTCCATACAAACCCTAATTACTAACATTTATATGAAAGCGACAAATTGCGGAAAGTAAAATTACTACACTATTACATCATTAGGGGAGGGGTATGCAAATTTACAAATGAGGATTGCAAGAAAATTAAACCTAATTATCTATTACAACCACATTGAATAATGTACAAGAAGATAAATGGAAAAGAAATGATTTTTGTTTGATTTTTGTTAAGGGTTTAGTTTTGACCTAATTAAGAAAAATGATTAATTAAAATTAAATGAAGATTAAACTTAAACTAATTAAGAAAAGAAATTAAGTTAGAAAGTATTTTTAGGGTTTTTTATGAAAGGGTTTAAACTTAATGAAAATAATATGGTAATTAATTAATTAAAAGAAACTTAAGTCCTAAATTAATTTTAAATAAAAAAGAAAAATAATTAAACCTAAATCTAATTATTAATTTATTAAGAAAAAGAAATTAAATTTGTTAAGAAAATGTTTTTGCCTTTTGTCTTTATAAAGAAAATAAATAAGTGTGAAAATAATAAATAAAAATATTTTTGGATTTTTACTAAAAATAATAATAATAATAATAATAATAATAATAATAATAATAATAATAATAATAATAATAATAATAATAATAGTAATAAAAAATAATAATAAAAAATGAAATAAAATAAAATAAGAAAAAGAAAATAAATTAAAATGAAATAAAATAAAATAAGAAAAAGAAAATAAATTAAAATGAAATGATAAAAAAAATGTTTAGATGAGTATGCAAAAATAAATGGAGGGGTTAGAAGTTAGCAAAAAATGACAAGGCCCACTATTGGAGGCCCATGCGCATCTGTTTATGACAAAAAAGGGAGGAAAATGTGAAAAGTGGCAGCGCTGGGGCTTGAACCCACACCCTAGACATGAAATGTGCGCTGCCTTGCCACTGGGGTGACTGTAAATCCGTTAACATAAGTGAAATGATAAATACATAACATAAAACAAGTCCTGAAAATGACTTCATCTTCAACCTCCAGCCATGGTTCCTGTAACTTGCTCATTTCTCAACAAAAATGAAAGATGCAAACATGAAAATTTCTCCATTTTTCCATACGAATCCAACCATATAAATATCATAAGCTATAAATCAAAGATGTATGAGAATTTCTAAAAGTACCAAATTCTGACCTAACTTTTTTCAGAGATTCAAACCTAAAATTCTCTGAGCTCAATTAATATAAATGAAATCTATGGACATGTACAGTTTCAGGGCAATGATATCTATATTTTATCCTCACAAATGTAAGCTTAACAATGCCTAAACGAAAAGATAGAAGTTCAGAAAAGATACCTCAAAATTGGAAATCGTGAAATGCAAATGAGCTCGATTCAAGGTGCTGCAATGACCAAGTGTTTCCAGTGATTTCTGGTAAACAACCGCTAGTCTTCCAAACTATCGAATAATCTTTCTGACTGTTATTCAATTCCTCTGGTAACTCACAGGATCGACTAGATTGATCCTAGGACTCCTTGGATATTAAGGTTACTCTCACGATCGAACAGATATTCATGGTTGATATTGTATATGTGTTTGGCTTATTTCGATTTCTCTCTCTAAGAGTCTAAAGATGTAATCAAAATGTGTGTGTGAAAACTAAGTTACATGAATAGATGCTAATTGTAAAGACATGTAAAATTGCATAAAAGTGAAGTAAATAGTTTCGACTTACAAAACAGTT